GGTGGTATAACTTCTAGAGGGGGGGAGATAGGTAAAAATTTTGTTCTACGAAAATAAGTTTCTAGTAAAGATCTATGTACGTATTAAATTTCAGCTTTCTATCTTTAAGAATGTAGAAGTTTTGTAAACAGACACACGGACAGACGGACGGACGGACGGACGGACGGACGGACGGACGGACGGACGGACGGACGGACGGACGGACGGACGGACGGACGGACGGACGGACGGACGGACAGAGTGAAACTAATAAGCACTTTTTTTCAAAAAATTTTTGGAAAAGTGCTAAAAAAAAACACAAAATATGAAGACCAATGCAAAGTTTCTTTGAAAACTACGATATCATATGGCATTATAATACGAAGTTGAACAAAACATTTACTATATTAACAGGAGACATAATATACAGGAACGATATCCCAGAAAAAAAATTTCCTCCATGTAATAAAATTGCGTCGAATTAAAAAGAAAAAAAGAGTATAAAAGAATTTAAGAAAATTAATGAGATAGAAATAAAATTTTCAACTAAAATAACATTAAAAAATACAAAAAAAAAGGAAAAAGAGAGGAACATGCATATGACACGGATTATTTTTAGAAATTTCTTTCTTTAATAAAGAGGAGAGGTTATTGACTTGTGTTTTTTAGGGAATTTTTAAAAAAAAAAAATTTTTTTTTATGTTAAGAAAAATCTTCCTTTTTCTCTTTAAAGGCAAGAAATTGTGTATTAGGGTTTTAAATAACACAAAAGAACTAAGTTTCAATTAAAAAATTTTTATATTAATTATATGAAATATAGATAATGATATGAAATTTTCGAGGATTCTTCGTATTCAATAATTTTTTATTAGAAATTTAATAAAAATTGAGCACGTGACTTTTATTTGATTAAAAAACTGTACGCTCTTACGACATATACATGTGTGTATGTTACACAACAGGAAAAGGATTTTCTCTTTTAGTCTCTCACAAAAAGACTTAATTTAAGACACATTTTTTAATTATATTTTTACCTCCAACATAGTAGTGATACTAAAGGAAGGAGCATATTTGTATCTATCTCATTCATACTCCCTAAAATATCCTGTATATTGATTAGAAATAAATACAATGAAGTTAAAAATTGAAGGTAGGTGTTGGAAAATTTTTAAACTGAAATTTCTTAAAATTGTTCAGTCAATTGCACGTTATATAGGAAATATGTCATGTTTGTCGTATTGTTTGTGGTTTAGGCGTTAGAAATGATTATAAAACGAGTTAGTCGTGCGTTGTTGTGATGTCCGAAAAAAGAAAGTGGCTATTTATTCTTGTGGTTTAACAAACTTGTGGAATGTTGAATATACAAAATTTGTATACTGCGCTCAGAATTGTTTCGGTAACCGCCAAACCAAATTTTGTAAATCTATCTGAAATCTTAACAATAATATGACCACAAAATTTGTCGACCTTCAATTTTAAAATAACAGAGTTAAAATAAATTTCCCAATAGATTTCTCATATTTCCTCCATTAATAAATATCCTTGAGTTAGTTTTTACAGCATATACGATTTTGATACATTGTCAAGAGTTCCTAAAAAAAAAACAAAACAAAAATATAAATTTTCATATTAAATTTAAATATTTCCATCTTAAGCGTCCTTTAATAGAAATGAAATTTTACTTTTTTCAAATTCTTTTTTATCCTTTTGCTGGGTTTCTCGCCAAATATGCTATTCCAAAACTTGTGCAGTGTAGTGATTCGTTTTTTTTTTTTTCCAAAACACTTCTTATCGAAATAAAGAATAAAATTGTTTTCCAAGTGTGCTATTAATAGAATGATATAATTGTGTGCTCATCTATTATAAAGGACACAAAAGGCATGATATTCGTCATTATATCAGATTATAATGTGGCTACAATGAAAATGAAATTTATGCAATAAATTAATATGTATACAAATACTTACATAATTTGATTTCTTCAAATAAATATGTCTATTTGTATTTATAATAAGATTTTAGCTTATCTCTCATAATTTCGTTAATTTCTATGTGAAAATAGAATAGGTATTATGAAATGAGAAATAAAAATGTTAAAAAAATCAATACAGTAAAGTAGTTAAAAATATGTCCTTTTTTATATTATTTTCCTCTTATAATTTCTTTGATATTCTCTTATCAAAAGATCAGGTTTTTTAATAAAAGTAAATTCAATTCAAATATGTAGTTATTGTGAATACATCTGTGAGCATACATAGTTGTACATTTCTTCCGTTTGTTCATAGTTACCTATTTTTTGAAAAGAAAAAGTTCAATTTCAAAGAAGAATTGTAATTGTATAAGTATACTTACGTATATGTACCTTTACCGTAAATTTGAAAACCAATGTTGTTTTTGATTAACATCCTTTACCTTATAAGTTATTCGTTCTTTTTGCATTAAGAAAATAATTTGAATTTTTGTATAGTTGGTTTAAAAATGTATATTGACCTAAACAGACCTGCCTGATCTCTTAATAGAATGGACAACTTGAAATGTAGCCGTAGCCAACATTTACTGTCGTAGTTTGGAAAATGGATTTTCACAGAATTTTCGAGTACTTAGTTGAGCAGTTTACGGAACTATTTTATGCCAAATTTGCAGTTTTACCCTAGTTTAAATCGGAATCCGTATATTATGTAGTTGGTCGAAGGAGTGAAATATTACAAAATTTTTAATAAAAGCTCAGCAACAAGTTCAAATTTTATGTCTCGAAGAAGGAACGATATATATGTAGGTCCGCCAGAATCAAAACTATTTCAGATAATTTTATTTCTTAAGCTGTAATTTTAATTTCTCCGTACTTTTATTTAATTTATAGTACACAAAGTATACTATCACTTCAATTTCTTTAATCCTTAGTCATTCTACATCACAAAACCATGAGTTCACGTATTGATGCTTACAATATTGCGCACTTATTATTGCGCATACTTTTTATTTTGAATATGATATTGAAATATTTTATTGCGCAGCATGTGAACAAAAAAAACCTTCTTAACTGTAATTTTTAAAAATTTTAATCAACATGCAAGATTTTTAAAAAGTTATTGTACTTGTATGAACTTGTAATTTCTTTCAAAATTGTTTCATAATTTTTTGTTGCAGTGTAAAATATGCAAAATATGAAAATTTTGTGTCATTTTTTTTTTTGATTAAATTACTTTGTATTCGAATCATGAAAGTTAAAAGAGTTATTAGTATTTAAATACAAAACAAAAATGAAAAAGACAACAAAATTCAAAAATTTCAACATTTTGAAATATAAATCACCCCCTTGATAATGTAAGAACTACCCCAAGATTTTACTAGGATTTGTAAATTTTTATATGTAAACAAAAACACACAATACATTTAATAATATACCTATATGAATGTATGTGTAAGATATATGTATATTATAAGGTTGAAATATGTCATTAAGTATATACATATACATATATATGAAAGTAGCTAACATTAACCCATACATGTAAAAAAAAAAGAGTGTTTATAGGAATAAAGGAATAAAATTTAAAAAGTTCCCTTTTTTATCCCATTATTTTTTTGGTTCAAGTTTATAGAGTACGAATACGAGAACCATAAATCGCACGAGGGCAGATGTTTTAAAACAACAAATATATATGCAAATGTATTATTAATGAATACACACATATACGTATGTATATTGCTTCGAAACAAGGATATTAGAATTAATAACATTTCGAAAAAAAAACGCAGTTTTTCAAACCAATACAAAAGCAAGTTCCCAATTTTAACTATGAATTTTCACTGCATTTTTTACTCTTTGTTATAAACAAATACATTTTTAAGGAATTACTGCTTTTGTCCTTTATTTTTGTGTATATTATTTATCCCTTATTTATATTCTGAAAATATTTTTGTGATCTTATAATATTACAAATATATATTTCAAAATATATGTACATGGTACACGAATACATGTAGTATGGGATAGTTAAATTGACGGTACGCTTATAATATTTAAAGACGTGAAATGTAGAATATTTTAGCAAGTCAAATAATGTAAATACAATAATACTCGGTTTGAAAAATGAATGTATGGGTTCACTTGCGAAACCCCCCGTAAGCGTAATCCTACAAATTCTTTCGTACAAATCAAATTTTTATTATATTTCATCAGTGATAGATAAGTTTTTGTTATATTGAATTTGTATAGCAAAACAGTTGACTATGATATGCAATCCCTTTAGTATCCTTGAATTGAACGGAATATTGAGGTAATAAGAGAAGAATTTTTTTTTTTGATAAAAACCACTACATTTAAAAATATGAAAAATAAATAAAGTTTTTACGACAGGGGGATGTTTTTTTTTCATTTAAATTTGATATACATATATGATTTATTTGATATATTTAAAATCGTCCTAGTATTTAGAGAAAAATTAACAAAAAAAATGCTTAACTTTATGTAGCTAGGTATGATGCACTAAATGCATTAATAAAATCAGAATGTCATACAAATCACAAAAACTTAAAGAAATCTAATTTTCCAATATAACAAAAATTATTACGTCGAGAAAATATATGAAAATTTAAGGCTATCCCCAACTACCCATCATATACGATTATGGGCAGCTGGGACAAACGTACATATAAATATTTAAATTAAAAACTGTTATACTTACAGTTAACTGTTATACAAAACATGTTGATTGAGATGCAATATATATATACCTATGAAAAATTTTGTAAGATCGAATGTTGCTAGAAATATAGCGGCATTATTTCTCTAAAATAAAATTTCTTCATTCACCCCACATCTCGAGCTATAGTTCTTTAAAGTAGTAAAAAACTATGTACTGGTCGAAAACTAAAAGCAATTTTTGATTCCTGTCAAATCAACACAAAGGTCAAATTAATTTCTTCTACCACATTTTTAAATGTACTATCTAAATAAATATAATAAGTATAATTTTTATAAATTTAATAAATTAAATATTTATTTATTTTTATTTCAGAATTTTTATTCAATCTTCAAAAACATTAAAGTACTGTACCGAAACTGATTTCGCAGAAACAGTGTCCGTCCATTCAATATAACATTTTTTAAAATAAAGTCAAGCTTTTTTTCAAAAAAGGAACATAAGTAAATTATTCTTGTCCATTCAGTTAACAAAAAGGCATCAAAATAAAGAGAAGCCTACCCGAGAGCGGCGATTATAGTGCACCAAAGATTTTAAAAACAGCCGCCAAAATTCATTTCAAAATGTTAATGCCTGGTGCCACTGAGACAGACGCTGCGGCGTTAGCGTTAGCTGCAGCCCAGGCAAATTCACAAGCCGTCCTGACATCACCAACTGCAGCACAGTTAGCTGCTGCAGCAGCAGCTAATCCTGCATCAGCTCTGGCATCAGCCGCTAATCCTATAGCAGCTGCTGCTGCTGCCGCAGCTGTACAACAAAAAGACACTACGTGGACAAAATTATTTGTTGGTGGTTTACCATATCATACAACAGATAAAAGTTTACGGGAACATTTTGCTGTTTTTGGTGAAATTGAAGAAGCTGTAGTGATAACAGATAGACAAACTAATAAAAGTCGGGGCTATGGATTTGTAAGTGTTATAATTTTCGTTAATATTACAATTTTTAAAAATACATAAACAACATATTATGATATTATATTTTATATAGGTAATTATGGGTGATCGTGCTAGTGCAGAAAGAGCGTGTAAAGATCCTAATCCAATTATTGATGGTAGAAAAGCAAATGTTAATTTAGCAATATTGGGTGCTAAACCTCGTGGTAATATTACGCCTGGTAAGTAGAAAAATTTTATTACATTTTTATAAATAAGTTCTCTGTAGGCTTCCTGAAAATAAAAACGAAAATTCAGAATGAATTTTCTATAAGACATTGTTTTTCGGAACAATAATAACATTTAAGAGAAAATTAGGAGATTACGTAATAGGTTTTTAAATACGGTAAGAGTTTTACATACATATACGAGTATAAACATTCACATATCGTATAATAATAAAAATATTTACATAAATATATACCTACGTAGGTAATAATATACCTATTTCGTACGTAGATAAGTAAATTTTCACTAAATTCTATTGCCAACTTAGAAGCTAAATGTCATAAGAACAATTTCGTGTTTTTCACTTTTATTTGAAATAGAAATTGAACTTTTGGCTTATACTAAGAGTTTTCAAATTGTCGCAATATTGTCAAAGGTATAATAGTGACATAATACGAAGATGTATATAATGACATATGATGTACACAAAGTGTTTGAAGTCAGGAATATCGAATACCAACTGACGGAGGGATCAATCGAAAAATTTCATGTGGCTCGCTTTTCCAACTTGTTGTACGCATTTAATAATCCTAAATAAATATGGCGACCGGATTTTCCTTATTAGAAGGGACAGCTTCTTCTTTTTAAATATTTTATACTCTATAAAATTTCAATTTGCTAATTCGATTAATTGATCTAAATTGTGTTGGAGGATCTATAGTATAATTTCAGTTTCTTAGCGAAATTCTGAATAAAAAGGTCTGAATAATTTGACAAATAGTTTTTAATTAAGCTAAACATTCTATTGAGGGAAATTATATTGTAATTAGAAACAAAGGGTTGTTAACAATATTTACCCAATTTTAGAATAATTCAATGACAATGTTAGTCAGACTGTTATAGTTATTTTCATAAACGCAATATGTCACAATAAATATACAGTCAAAACTGCACTGTATGAATGTCATAAATAAAGTATTACGAATCAGTTTTGTTTATAAACATTTCCAATTTGTGGCTAGTTAGACTAGTGTAGTATGGTACGTGACCCATATTTATGATAGAATATTTGTTTTGTTCTGTTGTTTTAGAATATTGTGTTTATGAAAACCCGTAATATATTACACAATATATTATTTCACATTTTATGAACCTGAAAAACTTGTTCTTTTCAATGTGAAAAAAGACCTGGTCACTTCGTTATTTAAAGTACATATTTTAATTTAATGAACACATACATATATTACGTATGTGTTCATACGTTTATTAAAATAAATTTGTGAAAAATACTTTTAAAACAATATTTAAAAAAAAAAAGTAATTTGTTTGTTTGAGTCCGATCGAATAAATTATTATAAAATGTCGTGCGTGTATACTAGTGACGATAGTGTATTACATACATGATGTATGATCGTTTTTAAATATATTGTGTCTCTCTTAGTATTAAAATTCTCTTTTAGATAAATATCGTTTCACTCAGTGGTAAAAAACATAAAAAAAATAAAAAATAATCAAAAAAAAAATTTTCCGATTGGTTGAGTTTTGACTTTGAAATAAAATTAGCTCCAACAAAGAAAAATTAATATAAATGCCCAACTGACGACAATATGGTAATGATTTTTTAGCATACATTCAAAAATACATATATTTTTTTTTGTTTTTCATTTGTTTTTTTTATTTAAAATTATATTGTATTATAAGTTTTACTGATATTTTGTCAAACGGGAACAAAATTATATAAAATTGAAAATGTTTTCCCAATACACTACTGATGAGTTTGTTAAAATTACAATTGTACATATATGTATGTACATATTATGAGCATTGTAAATCATTATTGTACTGTGAAACAGGGTTGTCAGATGTTACTTATACAATAGTATGTTTTGTAGAACTAAGATTTTCATTTTTTCATTTTTATTGTTAAACTATCGGTCTATCGATTTTTTTTAAGATCTATTACGTAATACTCTTAATAAATGAGCGTTTACTCATCAGATTAATTTTATATTTTTTTATGTCAAATTTTTGACAGCAATATTTTTTGAATACGTATTTACAAGTATGTGAAATTCAGAAAAAACAACCAAAAATCAGCTGTATTTTTAAAAAACCTGACAGAAAATCTGATAAATGGCGAGTAGTTTTCGAATTTTTTTCATCAAATTTAATTAAGCTTCGATTATTTAACAGATTCCTATTAGATTCCAATTAAATTTAAAATTTAATTTCAATTTTAATAAGTTCAAAATTTACAAAAAGACTTAATTTGATGTGTGAACGGAGGCACTTAAATACATTGTTGCAATGAGAAAAATTATCTTTTATGATTGAGTTTTGTAAGTCTTTATAAATATTTACTGCTCATTTTTTTTTTCAAAATTTTTGGTACAGTCTGAATATCCTAAAAAATATTGGTTATCTTCAGGTATGTACAATATTTTTTATGAATCTTTCATTGTGGAAATCGTTTCCGCCTGCCGGAAGTTGTTATACAAAAAAAAAAGTAAAAAAAGAAATAAAATTATTAAAATGGAGTATGAAAATCAAGATATTATTTTATATAAAAAAAAGTGTTATTTTAAAATTGGTTCTAAAAGAAAAAAATAAATTATTACCAAAACTTTTTTATATTGTTAAATTAATTTAGAACTTAGTAATAGGGAATTGTACACATGATGTAGTTTTGCAAGAATATAATCAACTAGCTTTTCTATACAACAAAATCTAATTATAATTGCTAAAATTATACTCTCATTTCTCCTATTATTCTATTTTCTATAGGTTTTCCTTTTGCTGCTGCTGCTGCCGCCGCTGGTTTACGCACTGGATATCCAGTTATACCAAATCAATTTAGGTAAGTACCTATTTATCAAAATATTTTGAACACTCTTGTGTTTTTTTTTATATTGCAAAACTTAATTGAACTGCAATAAATTATTATTGTTATTGTAATTATTCTAAGAAACTATAAGGCAAATTGTATTAATTATTACCCTTATTATTTTTATTTAATTCTTTAATTTCTTCCAAGTAATATACTGTAGTATAATTATGGGGTAAAAATTAATTTGTTGGTATATCTTATTTTTTCTAAGATTTATTGCCAAAGAACGGTTTTCAGAAAGTATATTTCCTACATAATTATTCCTACAAAATTATTCGTCTATTTTTGTATTAAAACTAAAAAATTATTGCACTATATTACTGGGTATTATTGAAAATATGCTGATTAGCTCAAATAGCTCATATTTCATTAGAAAATTTGAAAATAATGTTTATTAATTATAAGAAAGTTGGACAATTCATTTTGTAGAATCAAGTTTGTTAAACAATTTTAATCAATATTAAATGAAATTTGTTATTCAAACTATGTTCGTGAGATCATACTGACTGTCATTTTATAATATTTTAGAATAATATTGTATTATGCTAATTTAATTAAAGTTTTATTAATTACTGTCATAGTAAGTCTATACAGAATGAAAATTAAGAAATTGATTTGAGTTTAAAAAATGTTTATAGTATGAAAATATTATTATTATTATTATAACAGTAATCTTCTATTATCAAAGAAATTCTGAATAAAATTTTTTTAATAAATTTTAATTTTAATAAGTAATTCTTTAAGATAATGTAGGCTGGAAGCACAACATATTAATTTTATTCACTAATTAAAAATATAAAATAATAGAGGTTATAAATTTCGACCTCTATGAAATAGTTAAAAAATATTCAATAACTTAATTAATTAGGAAATTATTTTTAAAATAAAAAATAAAGCATGCACAAAATTAATCAATATTTAAATTTATTAAGAGTCTCTTATCAGATCTCTTAAAATAAATTGAGAATCATTTCTAATTAATATGTAATTTTTATTTAAAAAAAGACTTAAGATTTATTGATTAAATTATACAAGATTAACTAAATAATTATTTAATTAATTTCATAATAATGCAATATCATAAAATTTGATTGTTTTCTTACTTTATTCTTAATATAATGAAATAAGTGTTTTAATTAATTTAAGTAATTGAAGAAATTTATTGTCAATTATTTTCTTTAACAAAATTGAACTTCTGTTTATTATTGATTTAAAGTGATAAATCCACCATTTTCAAATTTTATGAACTAAAATTGAATAGAATTGAATTTTTAAGTATTAAAATAGTGTTAGGGTAGGTTTACACTAGTTAGTGACAATATGACATGAAATTCATGTCAATTTAGTAGCTTAATTTTAAAAAAACTTAAAGTATTAATGGTTTGTTACTTAAGTATGTTTGTTATTTAATTAACTCGACTTTTTTTTTTAAATATAATGTATACTTAAACAAATTTAAAATATAAATTATTTTACGAAATAATTATTATTATAATATATATATATTTCAGAGTTATCAACTACAAATACCTACGTTATCTATGAATTTATTTGAAATAAATTACACAAAAAAAAAAAGAAAATGATCATTTGAAATCCAAGGGAAAAAAATCAAAAACTTGAAAAAGCAAAATGTCATATTTGAAGTTTGTAATTATATAACTAAAAACAAAAAAACGTTAAACTTTAACAATTATTAAGAATGATTGAAATTATTGAAAATTTAAAGGATAATAATTGTTATATTGACATATATAAGCCTCGTATATATAATATAGGAATACAGAAACAACAAAACATGAAACACTTTCGTTATATTGTACTCGTTGTTACATAATGTGATTTACAATGAAAAAAAAAAACATTCTTCTAAGCTATAAAAAAAAGTAAATTTCCATGCAATTTCATTTTTTGTTTCTTTTCTTGTTTTCTCTTTCTGTCTTTTTTTTATTATAATCATATATTTATCGATTAAGGATATTCAAAATACGTTAAGGAATCATAATGAAATTATTATAAATGTATAAAAGATTTTTCTCAACGAATAATGAATATTCTTAGTGAAAAAGTTTTTTTTTCATTTTTTGCTATTTTCATATATTTTTTTTTCTTATTATTCTATTTACATTTATAATAGGACATCTACCAAAATGCAGATCTAACGTTGATTTGATTAATTCATCAATCCAATTGTAATTGCTGCGAATAAGTCAAATTGACGTCAGATTTGCGTTTTGGTAGACGCTCTTAGTTTACTCCTTAAGAAATTGTATTTTTTTTTTTTTGATGTTATTTAATTTATATTACTTATATGTAAATTGTTTGAAACAAAATATGATATTTTTTAATTGTTTTTTATTGTTTTTATTATTTATTTTTTTTTTTAAATTATAAATTTAAATGCTATTAATAGCCTTGATTATATATTTTTTTTTTTTGTGATTTATATTAAAAATTTCTTTTTTTATTTTTGAAATTATTATTATTACAATATATATATATACACATAATATATGTATGTAACTCAATAATAATATAAATTTTATTACTAAAAATGTATACAAAAATTGTATGTGTATATTAACAAAAAACGCACCACTTATAATACAAAAGAATTTTGTTGTTTCAATCACACAAAAAAAAATTTTATAATATTTTAATAATATTTTTATTTATATGTATGTTGATCGCAAATTTCTCTCACTTTTCAGAGTGAATAAAATCTCACTTATTAATATTATATTAATATAGCTACATATTCAGAAAAGAAAATTTATTATTATAATCATTTTGCAATTAGTGATATGTGTAGGTTTTCAGTTTTTTTTTTGCTATAGTGAAGGAAACGTGTATTTATGTATGTATTTGAGTAATATTGTTTTGACATTTCGAAGCATTTTTTAGGCTCGTGTCATCATTGTCACAAAGAAGTGAATAATAGGAAAAATTAGTGAAAGAGACCAATAAACTTCTTTTTTCTTTCACCAAAGCAAAATTTTTTCTCTCAACAAAATAAAAATGAGTATCTAAATAGTGCTGTATCATTAATTTTTTTTTAAGTAACGACACCGAAATTTTTTCCAATTAAAATTGCAAGATGGCAACAATTTTTGATATCGATTAGTTTTTAATGATGATCAAAAATTAACGTTAGGTTCAGAAAAATCTGAACGATGAAAACAATATTTGTGACCGGGCCGTTATTGTACTTTCTCCTTTTTATTTCTTAGTGTCCAATTATAAAACGTAAAATAAAGCCGAATGTTTAAATTTGAGAACGTACATACATACATACACACATATTTTTGCTCTATCCCTCTTTGTTTTGACGGAATTACAATGAAATGTTTGAAAGTTGAAGTTGCATTATGTATAATTCTTAGATATTTTGTCAAAAAAAGTGCAGTTTTAATGTAAATAAAAAAAATTTTCGGATATTTGTCAACAATAGACAAGTTTCCAAGAATTTTGTTAAAATATTACATATTATAATATTTAGCTAAAATATCAACTAGCTACAAATGTATGTATATGTATGCAAAAATTGTTTATTTTTGTTTTGTCAATTTTTTTCGGATTTGTAGAAAAAAATGTGATTGTTGTTGTTTTTTTTTCCCAAAGCGTTGTAAAATAATAATCTATTGGTAGTTTTTTTTTAGAAAATATAAAAAGAGTAATATTTTTCGAAATTTATGAAATTAAAAAGGGGCCCTCCTATAATTTTTTGTTATATGAAAAAGCTACAATTGAAAATACATCAGAATCAAATTCTGCAGTAAAATGAAAGAAGTTTTAAAGTTAATTGTATTGACATAAGCGTGGAATTAGACTGTTGAATAAGTCTTCTATTGTTTACCTTTTAAGAGAAAGAAGGTTATCGTTACATTTTTAACTTCACTGACATTCTTTTTGAATTACATTACAGCTTCGAAGAAATTAGCGAATACAATATACTTTCTCTTAATTTTATAATTAAATACAAAATGCCGACCTAAAATATTAGCCTAACCTACCTACCACTATAAAAAATATTTTGGATATTTGTTTTCCCCTTTTATAATTAAATATATTATAATTAAATAAATTTTAAGATTATTTTTAAATTTTGAGCGCATCATTACATTTTTGAAACTTTTTAACGCCTAAATAAATTAGCAAACACATAAAAATTAAAAACAAAAATGTTAAAATTTCTTAAAATTTCTAAAATTAATTTTTGTTTTCTTCTTATATTATAAATAAATTGTATATAGTATAAAGATAGACCATATAGTATACAAGAATTTTTATAATAAAGAATAATGAGATTTTACATAAATAGAATTTAAAATGAGGCGATTTCGAAGAACTTTACATAATTTTGTTAAGTGTCGTTGAAAAAAAATCAAGAATATAAAATAATACTTGTAAATTATTGGCAATCTTATACCGAAACGAAAAGATTGTGTACTTAATGTTTCTGTTATTGTAAAATTCCTGGTATTGTAAAACTGTTTGAATTTATTAATATTCTGTTATATTTTACGAAAGGTTTATATTATATTGGACAGTTGTTCCTAAGTCTTGTTTTTGACTTTAATTTTGTATAATATGTAATATTTCTTTTTATTCTCTATTTAGGAGATGAACCAGAATTTAGAAAAATACATGCGTGATTATATTTTATATTTATATACTAAACAAATTTATGATTAAATAAATTTATAATAATATAGGTATAATACATTTATTGCATTTGTTCACGAATGAGTCGGATTCTTTAGCAATAATTCCAGCATAATTGTTATTCGGGGCTTTTGTTGTTGTTTTTTTTTATCAATTTCCAAAGGAGCATATATATAAAATTTTATCGATCTTTTCTGGTTTAGATCCATTTTGTTTTATATAAGCAGGGATATATCGGGCAGAAAGTTATCTTAGATAACGCACAATCATCTTGAGTTGGCTTTAATCCTCCGGTATATATTGCG